AAATAGAGATAAAAATTTAAATTACATCCACTGTTTAAAGCTAGCCGGCTAGTGGAAGCTTTGCTTAGCATTTATTGTTTCCTTTCATTCACAACCGACAACATAATAATTAAAATAACCAAAGAGCTCCGTAATTTATTGTCGTCGCGGATATTTCATAAACCTTCGCACACTAGTTTAAACTAACTTAGTGAAAATATATTGCAAAAGTTTCACAGACTTGTACTATTTATAGGCGTACATGAGATTCGTGAATATTAACACTGGACTAGCCGGTACCGAGTGACCTCGGACAAAGGAACGGCGTTAAAAGGAAAATAATTGTTCTTTCTGGAGCAGATTGTGAGACGCTTGGTGGTAATTGTTGGAGCTAAACATTTGCTTTGTATTACAAGAGAAATATTACAAAGTAACCGCTCGCAGCCAGATACTTTGTGTCGGTTTAAAAATTATCTTCGCTGCGAGAATAAAGCTCTTCTTAGCCGCGAGACAAAGGAATAAAACGCCACAGCACTGCACTAACATTATTAAATAAAACTTATTGTGCCATTGTCTGTGTATTCATGAAGAAAGACCTTTCAATACAAACAACTATAGTGTATTATCTATTGTTAAACTTTGTCTTTTTAAATCAATTTAGGTAAATAAAAATATCTACTACACAGCTTTAAGAAACAACGAGCTTTACTTTAGTATTGCTAAGCAAAGTGCTCGAGTTCCCGTCGCTAGAGGTTTGTTCACAGTCCACACACTCGTAAAACCACGTAAAAATACATTATTTGGTCACTACGGAAAGGTGTTCAATAACTTTTATTTGTAATCAAATGCTAGAATTTCTATCAATTTTCTTCTGAATTTGTAACAACGTAATTCTTCGAACAATAAACATTATTTTCCATCGATAACCTACCATAATGTGAATAATAAATACAATGGTTGCTGGAAACTTTATAATTTAAAAATCTGAAATAAATTGAAACAATTTTTTCGGTTCGGGCAGGACTTGATCCGGCATCGTCAGTGGTCCGTGCTGTTGCTCTACCAATTGATTTAAGCCGTTTAGCAATTACCCGAATTCACTTTAATAGATTTTGGGAAGCGCACACAAAGTAAATTAAAGCAACACAAGGGCGCCACGGCGAGTATTATGAACGTTGTCTTAGATAATCATCAGTCCCCCGACGTTGCAACGTAGCGTCAACACTGCACTCCGTACCTGAATATCCTCTGCAATCTACTTTATACCACAATATACATGAATATATTACACAATCTTACTTGTGTCGTGGTACTTACAAACTGTACATAAACATTTAGTCAGTTCTTGAGCTCATGCCGTTACCATAACAAACTTATATATTTTACATTTTATAATATGTGAATATTGTTAAAGTCGAGATGACTAAATGTGTATTGGAATACTATTTATTGAATATATTTAAAATAATCACGACATTATTTATAATTAAGGTAATAAATCTAGATGGAAATAAATATACAGATGGTTGGGTTGTGTATCTTCAATTAAAAAGCCTTTTTGAACATGTAAGGTGCGGTAAGAGATGCAAACTGCACAGGTAGCACATTTTAATTCTACAAACGTACTAAAAGATATAAATATCTAACTAAACTAGTTGTAACACCGACTTCGTCCGCGTGAAATAGTTATTTTCGGCAACAAAAAATTGCGTTGTGAATCTTCTTTTCGACCAGCGCGTTCCGTCGTTCTTGCACTTTATCTTAAAAGATAGACATGTAGTGTCGCGGACATTTTTTGGATCACTTAAAGAGTATCTTGAACCGTTTTCGCAGGGTAGGCATCGGAAGCCCCCAAAGATAATCCCCCATTTTTTCCACATTTCTCGCTTGTTCCTACTATAACCTTCCTGAATAAAAATCTCTAACCAACACATTTTTTTTCTAAATTCAAACCTGAGATTAGCGCGTTCTAACAAACAAACAAACTCTACAAGTTTATATATTACTACAGACACTCGTAATGGATTAAAAATATATTATTTGAACCTATTTTTATTGACCCGACGTTGTTTTGATGCCTACCACTCGCGCAAATTTTAAACAATTTAACAAAACAGATTTTTTTTGCATGACTGACATTCAGTGTAAGTAAGCTTAAATGCGTGGTAGGAATTTCGATATTCCGTCCGGGGCACGAACCACCGTCCACAGATGAAGCCATGAAATTCTAATCACGTTTCGGTTTCAGGCTGCGGATTTCCGGTTGTCCAGAGTAAAAATAGATTGTCAGCGCATCTTGTTTAGATATTACATGGCTGGGGTATTTCATCTTTCATCGAGTGCACCCCATTTTTATCTGTCACTTTCTATAAAAAGTAAATAAAACACTAAGAGAATGAAGATAAAAGAATTGTCGTGTCTAATAAAGCAAAATATTGGTCGATTTAAGGCACACAATTTATTGTAGCCGTAAAACACCTTGAACAAAAATTCCAACCGACGTGTTTCCGACTGTGTATTTTTATAAAGAACTCTTTTTGTTCGAGCATTTTATGAATAGTTTCAGTGAAGCCTGAGTCGATTTAAATAACGTTTGCGGCGCGCGTGTCGCTCGAGCGTAACAACCCGCCTCACGCACACGGCCGAACTCGCTACACATGAACACACAACTTGCCACACGCGCGTGTCTGTCTGGAAATAGGAAAAGTTAAAAGATTCTTCATCGTTCTACTTTGTTGAGTTGTTTTTACTGTACTTTGCAGTCAAAGCACAGTGAAAACAACGGTTAGAACTCATTGCCACTTTCAATTTGTTCAATGTATGTGTATCATTTACTGATATACCCTAGTGACAAACAAGGTGATACTCAAAATACATGTATGAAAAACAAAAACTGCGCTATAAACTACATTAAATAGTAGTAAAGCGATGAAAATCGTGAAAAATGCTTTCTATTTCGCTCCCGGCCGTACCGCAGGTGAGTAAAAAGGCGCCGAAAAGAAAACCGCCACTCAGGCGCTCTTTTGATTAAAATTAAAAAACGTACAATATTCCACGCTCGGTCATTTCAGCTCCATTTTCAAATAACTTTTGGTCTTAGTCCTCCGCTACCGTCCCACCTACCCTCCGCGCCGACCGAGTCTCTAATGTAATTTAAATATTCATAAAGTTATGTTTAACCTTACTTACTTTACAACGGAGAGGATTCTTATTCCTTCAATTACTTTAAATATTCATTTAAATTTTGATAAGCCCGTTCGCGATTTTATATACGCAATGATGTCATAATAGAAGCAACTCAATGTTAATAATTTTTAGTATAAGAAATATTGTTTTCCTTTATTACAACGTAAATGAGTTAGACAAATTATACTTTATTACATATTATTTATGATTATGTATATACATATTTAGTATATCATATATTCACATACAATATTTATAGTTTTATAATCTGAATAGATTTTAGTTTTTTTGAACGCGCTCGCGCTATTTTGAATTGAATTGTTCAATAGATCATTAATCGAGGAATGCTTTAGAATATAGTTATGTATATATAATAGGCTATAAAAATCACTTTGCGGTCAATAGGAATAAATAAACAGAGGAAATATGGCAAAAAACTGAGAAAATTATGAATTTTAGGGCTCTCTCTGTGATTTAATAACCAAAAACATATTTACGATAGAATGTTTCCTCTTCAAATGATCTCAAAAAACGTCCGCGACAGTATAATTCTTCTAAGACTTTTTTTAATAAATAAATAATTCATTAAATAAATGTTTACTAAATAAGAAAAGAAGTGTCCTTCTTTCTACATGCCATATCGTATTTTTGTGTTATTATTTTGAGAAATAAGTAATTTGATTAGATATTATTATATGAGTACGAATATCTTTGTTAAAAATGAACAGCTGCGCTAAATGCTACAAAAATTGTTGTAGTTTCACGTTATTCTCTTTTCTCTACGCAGGAGAAGGGACACACGTTATGTGACTTTAATTTGTAGGGTAAGTGCTTTTATCCTTATTTATCGCGTCCCGTTTCATTACTAAGCGGAAATTAATCCTTACCCATATTGAAAGTTCCCTGGATAAGTTTTAGCAACGCCGAACTGTTTTACTACATTCACGTCATATTATTTTGATAACCCATTACGGTTATCTCATTTTTATTTACTTATTGATCATAACTCATGTTCGAAATATATAGTAACTAGCTGTGTCTATTTCGTCCGCGTTGAATAGTTATTTTGGGCATCTAAATTTGTTTTTCAAACCTCCTTGAACCCCTCTTCCATCTCTATAAATTTAGGCTGTCACCTGCGAAGTCAGTCGCGTTTAAAGTGAAATTATTTTGTTATACATATTTTTGGGTATGTTGAAACGATTTCGCATCGTACGCATTGAAAACCCACAAAGTTAAATAATTTTCTTCGTTTTCTCTACATTTCCCACTTCTTCTCCGCTCCTATAAGTTATATTGACACACAAGTCATGAAGATGTAGACACACACTAGAGCGTGATTTTTATAGCCTATAGCCTTCCTCGATAAAAATTCTAACACAAAAGTTTTAATTAGAACCAGTTCCTGAGTTTAGCGTGTTCAAACAAACAAACTCTTCAGCTTGTATATTAGTATGGACATATATATTGTACTTATATATTTTTACAAAATGTCGTATGACTGTCTAAACTATAACTAATCGCGTACTAGCAACATCCTTGAAAATCAAGGATGTTGACCAACAAAAATGATTGCCCTGTATCGGCACCGCGATTGAATTTAACTTATGGCATAAATTCCCTCTCGGTTTTACCAAGTCACGTCGCCATCTCGTGTTCCGCCAATAAAGAGAATTGGAAGTGACAAATCAAGAGAATGTCTGTTTGTAACGGTTGGTGTTCCGCACACAGGCGACAAAACTTCAATTCGTTTGATTTCCCTGCTTTCGGAAACGCCGTACGAGCGCTGCAGCCGCCGACGTCCTTTGACAGCTTGTTTTATTTCTTTTTCCACAATGCGAGTATCTCCTCACTCCGAAGAAATCGCGAGGATGTCCCGCGGGTCGTTTGATATGAAACACGCGTTAGAATGCGAAAGGATCGCCGCGGAACGGTCTCCCTCAATACGTCTTACGCTTAGCCAGTTCTTTAGAGATAAGAAAACTTCAAAAAGCGATCGTTCGATAAGATTTATCGCCATAAATCGCTCCCGTCGACCCGGCGCTCGTGAAAAATTACACCTCAGGTGTTCCGAATAAAAAGTAGGTTTGTTTGTTTTCCGCGGCGTCATAAGACGCGTGCGACATGACACCCGACGCTTCTCGTTCGGGAGCCGGGAACGACCGCACACAATATTAAATAACTCGCACGGAAGGGATTTAGCTCACGTTCTGCTTTTTGACGATGCGGATTCTTCGTAAAATAGGACGACATAAATAAGGGTTAACGTTATGCATTAAGACATTATTTTTCTCTCGAATAACGGCACCACGGAGGCGTTAAGACGGAGTATACCTGGATTAAAATTTAGAATACAGATATCTGATGGCGCGGGGCGTGGCCGGGAACCCGGTCTGAAGTGGGAGAGGAAAATGCAAATATATTCCCTCGGCAGCACTCTCAGAGCTCCCGGTAGAAATCACCAACAGATGGCTGGCGTTTTGTTACAATTTAATCAGTTCGCTGCTAACCGTCGATAAAATAAAAGGGTTCTGCTGAATAATGCACGCAGCAGAGATTGATTAGAATTCATACTATTAGCAGGTGTTTGCATAAAAACTTGGTACACTTAAGTTTTTGAGAAAACTTACTTCCATTTACAAGTTTCCAAGTGCGCGCGTATCATGAATAATACGAGGCCGGGTTAAAATATAGCTTATTCCTTATTCTGCGGTAAAACCCCGCTAAATATTTAATATAATTCACGTTGATTTAGTTCTGTTGGCACATTCCAGAACCCTTTTAAATACCTCGGGCGCTGCGTGACGTAACGCCGGATGTCGGTGAAAAATTATTGAGTATCCACTTAACATAATTTTCCACTCTAGAACTAAAATTAAATTTGAAGTTTGCGTGCTCTTCGGCTTACTATAGCTCGATACCTTAGTATACAAGAATAGATCTGGTTTCGATTCTCGGTTAAGTTACGTATTTCTCATATCATCAGCGTCATCCAGGTCAAACAGATTCATAACGGACTCGTTCTCCTACGCTATTTAACTTCAAAAAAGGGTATGACGAGGTCACAGACATTTCTCACTATTTGCGTATAGGAATGACCTTCTTAAACTTCGGTGTGATGATGCCACGCCGAGTGCCGTCCTGTCGGCGTGCCGACGTGCCAATGTCTCGCAGATACCGCGGTCGAGTGAACTGTGCTCATAGTTGGGCCTAATGAAATTCCTTACACCCTGTAATGAGCTGTCCCCGGTGCTCATTATTACTTCGCCGTTATTCATACAACTTTTAGTAAACTAATACCCTCTCGATTTGACATTGCTCAAAAAGGTTTATATATGAAGAATAGCTTTTTTTACTATACATGACTACATTAGTTGTAGCTTAATAAACTTATCCTTGGTTGCTTATAGGTTCGAATTACATTCGAGGTACATGGTCAATTAAAAACTTCTAAATATTGATATGATTTTTTTGATATCCTAAACCACTTTGAATATTGCTTCATGAACTGGAAATGAAATATCTACCTTGTTTTTTCAGTTGCATTTTCTCTTACCTTTCTTTTTACATTCATACAAAGACTTATATCTCTTATAGCTAATAATAGTTAGGGAAAGTTGAGTTGTAATGTGATCGTTTGTTTCGTCAGTCGTCAATATAATATCCGTCGTTTAAAAGTAAACAGGGCTGATATTGCGACAAAAGTACGGCGCTGGTGTGAAATTAGCATAGAGGTCGTAACAGGTTTGTTCTCGAAATAAATTAGAGCGTGCAGGAACGCGGGACGAGTGCAGTGTTTCTATAAAGAAACTGCAAGACACGGATTTTAAACTTTATTAAAAGTCGCTGAGACGAGCCGCTCTCGAGTGAGGCTCGTCTCTTACGAAAAAGCTCGGAAGAAGTATTTGTTACGTATCGCTCGGAGATTTTTTGCATAAAGACCTGTAATAGGATGAGAACTAGGCTTCTGCAAACAGATGGCGCGCGTCTTTGGAAATAATGAAAACGTATATGCAGTAAGACCTGTGATGGTCGCAGGTTACATACTTTTTTTCGTATCTGTTATTGAAGCTTTTAATTTTTACAATTTCTTGATGATCCTATAGTTGTTTGAGTGAGTCGGTTCCGGAAAGACCCAGCCAGTTTATCTCCGGCTATACAAACGTCTTAGTATCTTTCCGTGTAATCAATTATTTAGTTAAAAATAAACGGCTTCGTCTAAGTATCTTCTGATACTTGACTTGACTTATTAACCGACGTACGCCGGTTTCAAGAGGGTACAAAAATAAGTTTGAATTGCGGGCTGTGGCAAAGTTCTCGTGAATTGGTATGCGAGGTGGCGAACTTTCTCGCTATTTGCTAAACTATGAAAGCGGCGGCGAGTTCGTAACAAGCCTGAGACGATTCTGAAAAGACGGTTCATTTAGTTCTATAACTTTTTAAGTAATATTTTCTGAAACAAAGTATCGAGCTATTTCCGCAAGCTCCGAATAAACAAAACAACGTTAACAACTTTTATCTCGTCAACTTGGAGAGCTTTTAACAGCTTTAGAAATCGGATAAGCGTAATGTACCAAATTTTGTGCTCTTATCATATTTAGGTATATTTATAAACCAATAGGCTGCTTGATTAATAAATTACAGGAACGCCGTAAACAATATTCTCAAGGAATAAGTGAATAACAATGTTTTCCTTGTTACTTGTTGTAACCCACAAATAGGCGTATTATGTTGTACATTTAGTTTGTTCTTCATAATTCCTAGCTGGATACGATTTGTTTAACTTCTGCAACTTATGAGCGTAGAATTATGAGCCTGGGGGTGCGATTAGTTAGGATTTAACCCGTTAAGTGCCGTTCAAGAATAGAGATTTTCCCAAAGGAAAGGAATAAGGGGCAAGATGTGGTTGGCGTTTAGCTGACGATCGAGCTAATCTTAATATCCGTCCTCCGTTCCCCACGTACCCTCTCCCCGCGGCACAGCGCGATACCCGGAGATTGGCACCACAGTTTTATGCGCATTTAGGAATAAAGGCGAATTTCTTGGTTTAATTAGACTTTATGGAATAGCTTTCGATACGAAATCGTTAAAAACTTTTAATTTGATTAAAAAGGAAAAGAAGATAATAATCAATTATTTCTTACCAATACTAATTCTTAAAAATGTTATAAAGTGCCCATAATACTTTAAACAACAACAAACTTACAGTATTTTTGTATAGAAAATTTATGAAACAGGGTAAGAATAATAATAATAACGTAAAAGAGTTAGGTTACTCTGTATAGGCGCATATTTAGTAGAATGACATATAGGACACATTCAAAATATAATTTGGGCGTACTGTTTCAACAGACGTCCACTGTGGTAAAAGACAGCAGGCTCGGAGGCGACACCCGCGGAGATTATAAGTTAGATTTCCACGAAACCGATCTTGCGGCTTACTCTCTATCCTATTTCATTTATAAAGGGATTCAAATAAATAACCGATTTATCTTACCAATCGGGCGAGTATTATTATTTACCTTACTTAGTAAGCGAAGTTATCAAGTCAAAGTAAGCGTGAAGAGTTTGTTGTGTCACGGGCGAAGTTTGTTTCCCAAGTATTCCCGATCGTAGCTCTCGACGCGTGACGCGACCCAGTCGACAACCTTGTTCAATTACTCAATAAATAACTGATGCAAACTCGAACAATTTTAATAAACTCCACGAGTGAACCCTTTTGGAACACGAAACATTCATTACTCAATTTTTTTGAGAAGAATGAGAAGTTCAGTTTAATTTCAAAAGTTTCTCTTTAAGTTTAAATAAATAATGAAGTTTCGACGGTACGTCCCAAAGGTAAAGAGAACTAGAACTGGCTGCGGCAGACAAAAGAATAATATTTCAGAGTGGAAAAAGTCCCGCTTTTGAGTCCATTCAAATTTTAATTTAAGATAATGCTTGGCGTACTTGTGGGCTGTTCAAACACGGACAGTGATCTCTGGAAGTGGTTTTCCGACACTCTCATCAAATATTGTTATATACAAAATTTTATTGTCTTATACTTAACTTAAGAGAAAATACTTAGTTAAGTTACAATTACACTTGTTCGCAATGAGTAGGTACTTTTCGAATTACATTTCGAAAATATGTCAGAGAGAAAAAAGGGTTGTCTCAGTAATTTCTACTAACACATATTATGATGATAATATAACTGCCTAGCTGGTCGCGAGTTCAAGTCAAAAATAACTTTACACAATAAGGGACGTAAGCCACTTTACAAGGCAATAAATACTTTTTCAATTAGTAAATACCATTTTTGTACAGAAGCCCAACTTAAAAGCTAATAATGTAAGTTTGATTTACATAACTAATTATGTTTAGGTTTCATTACGCCAGAGTTAAGCGATGTTAATGTAATGCATACATTGAACTAGTGTGACGTTTGCATACGCTGAGCTAAGTTAGCCTTTACTTTGTTTAGATATTGTTATAAATTTCATTATTCTTTGAGGCACTGGATTTCTTTTTTAGTAAAATTGAGTACTAACAATACTTTATTGAACAGCTTTGCTACGTTATGAAATATTCTTATTAAACAACTAACGGTAGATGAGAGAATATATTCACACACGATTATACCTATTGTAAATAGTCTAACTTATCATCTACTTTAGACGTCCGTATTAGTTCGCACAGTAAGCAAAGTTAGCTTAGTTAGCCAAGTTAGTTGCTATCACTTATCAGATAATAAGTTGCGATAACTATTGGCATATTCATGCACTGTTCCCGAGTCCCGAATCGTGATGTGAATCGGTACATTTATTATGATGGCTTTGACTTTGTGTTTGCATTCTGGGGAATAGTCCATAGTCTGTGGACTTAGTCCTTGCTTTAGGTGTGCTTAATATGCAATAGCTCTAACTTTATAAATTTAGCATATAACAAAGCTATAGTTTAACATCATTAGTACAGTTGGAAGTTGCTTTTGATTCTTCTAATAAATATATTACATTTCAGTACAAAATTTACTTTTACATATGTATAAAAAATAAGTGTTAAAAAGTGAGGAGTGACATTAGTTCATTTTCTGGTTGAA